CACTTCACTGGGTCAAAGTCCTGGAAATCCCTCCCTGAGGGCATTGTGGATCAACCCACAGCACTTGGCCTACAGTTGTTCAACAGGCAGCTCACCACCATTTTCAAGGGCAACTAGGGATGGGCAATAAATGCTGGCCCTGCCAACGATGCTCACATCCCACAAGTGAATAGAAAAGTTCTTATGTTTGAATTTCACGAAAGCATCTTCTCACATTATTCTTGTGATTTTCTCCAGCCTTCCAACCCTCCAAAGATTCTATTTCCCTTTCCTTGACCCCCCACCCCATTCAGCCAACTTTGGTGACCTTGCCTTCAACCATCTTCCCGCTCAGCTCTGAAACTCTCAGTCAGTCTTGGTCTCTTCACCTGTCTCATCCTTAATGATCATCCTTAAAACTTGTATCTTTGACGAAGTGTTTAGTTGTCTGTCCTAATATTCCCCTCTGACACGCTGTCAACGTTTGACTTGGTAGGCATCAGTGAAATATCTTGGTGTTTTATTGCTTTTGAGGGGCTATTCCGTGGCAGCAATGTCAAGTTGGCTGTACTCTTGTCCCAGGATTTGAAAGTAGCTGAGTTTAAGCCCCACTTTATAAACGTGACCAGATACTTCAGGCTGACCTTCCCAGTGCAATGCTGCACTGTTTGGCAATGCAGCTTCCAGCTGAGATATTGGACCAAGGGTGCCCTCTGCCCTCTTGTGGGTCTAAAAGGTCCAGTGACCACTAATTAAAAATGTTCTCTGCAGAGTCTTAAGTCAATACTTATCACCAAAAAATCTGCCCGTTATCATATTGCTGTTTATGTGACCTTGCTGTGTGCAGTTTGGTTGCACTTCAGAAATATGCCATTGGCTGAAAGTTCCTTGGATGAAATGAAGACTTGAATGATGTTATATAAATTCTTCGTAAATGTGAATTTATTTTTAAATCAGATAGCTGGCCTGTCATCTCTAAAAGAGATTTTGATTGCAGTTTTCTGAATGGTGATCATTGATTAATTCCATGAATATTCTAATGATCAAAACATGCAAAATCTTTGAGCAGCTATTTACATTAACTGCATATGCATAATAAATGAGCATCACTTGAGTAATATTTTAAATCAACACTGTAGTATGAATGTCAATGCAGAATTCTTGATTTGCCTGGTAAATCCAAAAGGAATGCTACAGAATTTCTATACATCATGATTTGTGGACGACACTCAGCTATTTTCTACTGGATGTAATTTATCCATCAATATACTCTTGAGGAAGTTTCATTGTTTTAATATTCCTATTGCCTGCTTAAGTGTAGTAAATCAACCATTAGTCCTCAGCCAGTTTATTTGCTGTAACAGTTTGTTTAATGCTCTTTTGGCATGAGACGCCCATTTTCCTCAATAGTAAATAATCAGAAAAATGGGAAGGAGTACATAATCCTAATGAAAATAACAAGAGCTACTGACTTTGATGAGCTGTCTCCTGTGTCAATACAACAAGCTTCCTGGATACCAGTAGTTTTCAAACACATCACTTCGAAAATGTGTGTCATCAAGTTACGATGTGGAGGGACTGGTGGTGGATTGAGTGGACAAAGTCAGAAGTCACACAAAACCTGATGAAGGGGCTATGCTCCAAAAGCTTGTGATTTCAAATAAACCTGCTGGAATATAACCTGGTATCGTGTGATTTCTGAGCAAGTTTTTAAAATCAGGGTGAAGTCACAGTTAAACTCGAGCCTTGTAAAATGTTCACACATGAATATTTTATAGTGCGAGTTACTGGATGCTTATCAGGAGCAGGAATCCAGCAGTCCTGAGGCCAACTAATATTAAAATTGCTGTTGCAACTGAAGTTAGGTAGATCATGGAAGACTCAATTGCTGCGAAAGAATTTAAATAGTCACTCATCCTTCATTGCCTACAAGAAAGTGGTGGTAAGCTGCTGCCTTGACCTGCTGCAGTTCCTGTGGTGTAGGGAACATCCACAATCTTGATAGAACGTGGGACCTCCTGGCCTGTATAGCACCTGGTACCGTTACAAAGCAAGCTATTAGACAAACTATTTTAGTCAGTTATAGTTCCCCTCCATTTTCCAAAATCATATTTCTCTATTGAAGATTCCAGCCCACACTGTAGTTCGTCTTGTGACAGAGAAGATACACAGGCTGTGTGGTTTAACAATTTATCATTTCTGCTCAGAGTATACCACTTCAGCTCATAAGAACTTCCTGCTCTCATTTAGGCTGGATTTCAGAGAATAATAATGGCCCCATCCATTGGCCAGAAAGTCAGGACCATTCTACCTCAGCTGGTCGTGGAAGCTCTCACTGCATTTGCAGTCCCTATGTGTTAACTACCTACAGTCAGGGCTTCTGATTGCTTAAGGGATGAAGTCCTTTCTTCAAGAGCTATCAACCAGCAATTCTTCAATCCCAGCCAGCAGTGTTACCCAGCCTCAGAATGAAGATGAGGTGCTGGCATTCACCAGGCCCAGTTAGGTAGGCCTTACCAGCATGGTGATGGTTTAGTGACAGCACACCCTAATCCCAGAAGAAGGTAAAAACCAAAATAACTGCAGGTACTGTAAATCAGAGACAAAAATAGAAATTGCTGGAAAAGCTCAGCAGGTCTGGCAGCATCTATGGAGAGAAATCAAAGTTAACATTTTCAGGTTGAACGACCCTTCCTCAGACTAGATCTGAAAACGTTAACTTTGATTTCTCTCCATAGATGCTACCAGACCTGCTGAACTTTTCTAGTGATTTCTATTTTTGCCCCGTAAGGTGGTGCCTGGTATTGTACAATGGCATAGATTCCAGATCAGACAGGCCTATCCCTATAAAAGGTATTAAGGTACCTGCTTCTTTGGATCCTTGCCTCACCTACAGCCTCTCTCCCAGTCCTGGAGTCAAGGAGAGAGTGTTCACTCAGTCAACTGACTGTATCCAATGTACAGTAACATAAGTAAGCACAGACCCCGGTCTATGGCAAAACAAAGAACTGTGGATGCTGGAAATCTGAAGCAAAAAAAGAAATTGCTGAAGAAATTTAACAGGTCAGTGGAGAGAAAGCAGAGTTGATATTTCAGTCTGGTGACCCTTCTTCATAACAAAACAGACCTAGGGATTCACTCTATCCGAACTGTCTATACCTGACATGTGCTTCCTTCTTTTTCTTGACCAGAGCCTCAATTTGTCTCGTCAACTGACACCTCAGTCACTCGCCCTTATTTCCCAACAGAACGTCAAGTTTTGCTCCTTCTCGAGTAGGTACATCCAAATATTCAATAAGAAAGTTTTACACATTTAACAAATTCCTCCCCATCCAAGCCCTTAACACTATGACAGTCTCAGTCTATGTTTGGAAAATTAAAATCCTCTACCATTACAACCCTATTATTCTTACAAATATCTGAGATCTCCCTATATATTTGCCCCTTAATTTCCCACTGACAATTGTGGGGGGCTATTACTATAATCCCAACAAGGTGATCACCCTTTTCTTATTTCTTAGTTCCACCCATATAATTTAACTGGACGATCCCCCAGGAATATCCTCCCCAAGTACAGCCATAATGCTGTCCCTAACCAAAAATGCACTCCCCCTCCTTCTGTTGCTTCCCTTTCTATCCTTCCTATGGCATCCATATTCTGAAATATTAAGCTGCCAGTCCTGTCCATCCCTGAATCTGCCCTTTCTCTAACTCTCGATTCCCCTACAGAACAAGGCTCTCTATCTCAGCCTTAAACACGCACAAGGACTCTGCCCCCAGATCTCTTTGTGGCAAGGAGCTCCAAAGACACTCAACCCTCAGAAGAAATTCCTCCTTGTCTTAACCTTAAATTGGCACCCCTTTATTCTGAGATTATGCCTTCAGGCCTGAGACTCCCCCACGAGGGGGAAGCGTCCTCTCAGCAGTTGCCCTGTCAAGCCCCTTAAGAATCTTGTATGTTTGAACAGATGGGATGATTATCTCTACCTTCCCACAGCAGGGTGGCTGAGGTAGGAGGTGGGAGTTGGAAGTGAAAGCTATGATGGGGATGCTGTCCTCCTGCCATGCCAGGCCTGCTCCTGGGCAACTGACAATAGAATTCTGGCTCTTCTAGCTTCTCAATCCTGCACTCACTTTTCTATTGACAAGCAGCAGGTCTACATTTGGCACAACTGTGCCACTCCCTTCCCAGCAAAGGCAAGTCACATAATCAGTGCTGAATCCCTGTTGCAAAGCTGTAATGTATATAATGACAAGTTCTCCCCTTTCCTTTACATCACAGATTATTTTCAATCACCCTGTTCAAATGTTGTGACATACCTCTGGAGCAGGTGGGACTCGAACCCAGACTTCCTGGCTGACAAATGAATGCTGTTTAATCAGTTCCTTGCATCATTAGTCGTTAACTCTTGACCCCAACAAGCAACACAATCTGGACTTCAGTAGCAGTGCTATTAACCAGAAAATGGTGAGCGTAATCTGAAGACGGTGTTTTCCCCAGTTCCTTGCAGGCAGCAGTGTTGACCATTCAGCTAAGGTATCATATGTTTGGTTATGGCTTTCTTGGACAGTGGATAAAATCCAGGGGCCAGATTGGAAGATACGAATTGTAATTTAGTGCTATTGTGATGGAGTGCAATCCTACCTTTGCCCTTGGGGGCTGAAGTAGAATATCCATTTTTATCTTCACTTATCTAGGAGTGTGAATACACCTTCTGTTGGCCTGGCTGGGATAAATTAACTTGACATAGTAGGTTCAGAACTGAACCCTTATCCTCTCAGATCTTTTGAACTCAGATGAAAAGATAAATTCTGAGCAATTAGGATGATTTCCTACTCCTTTTTTTTAAATGCAGTTCAGGCATCTGAACATTGAGGTGAAGAAAAACAATGGAGCACATTGAGATCTTTTGCAAAATACATCAGGCCCCAAAGGATGGTGCTGACACACCAGAGCAGTTCCAGAAGTAAATAATTTATCATTTATTTCTGCATTTAACTCGAGCAATCAGGAAGCTGGTCCCTGGCTGCTTCAAACAAAACACCGAACAGACATTAGACCCTTCACTGCCATTTAGCAGCTACTTAGCAGTTTAACACGTAATTCATAGTGAAGAGCACGAATTGATCAATAGCCAAATATAATCCAGCCTAATACCAAGACAAGTGCAAAAATCCTATCGTTTTTACAGATTAGTGGTTTAGTTAACATTTCACTCTTCACCCATTTGGAGTGGCTGGTTTTAACCATTAATTTGAGTAATGTCAGGGGATGGTTGTTGGATATATTTACTTCCATTCACTGTAAGGAATGTCATTAACTGTCAGCACGCTTAGAATGTGTTCTCACTGCGGTTCTTTTGACATGTTGCTAACTGTTTTATATAAACTGTCTACAGATGTAAAAGACAAACTATTTATTTTAATTCTTTGTGAATAAGAGAGAAACTCTCAGTTCCACTGATGACTCAGCTGTTCACAGTAGTTAGTAGTTGAGCCACACAGGCCCACGTTTAATTTCTGGTCAATACACAATCAACTGACTCCAGTAGGAGTTGCAGATGACATCACAGATTGGGGTAACTTTAACCTATGGGAGTCACATGGAATCAAGTGGAATACCAGTTTGACACACCATCCAAAACCATTCCATCATGAAATTGACAAGAGTAAAATCTGGCTGAATGTTAAATTATCTCCGTACATGATCCATTTCTCAATGGACAGGTTAGGTTTAACTCGCCACATTTAATCTACCTATCTCCATTATTTTCTCATTATGCCCAGAAGTGGTGATGCATGGTAAGCTTCTGAGAGTGTAGAACTGGATGGTGCAAGTTTAACATTGCAAGGCTTGAAATTAGAAGAGGGCAGCATGGTGGCTCAGTGGTTCAATTCTGCCCTTGAGCGACTGTTTGTATGGAGTTTGAATGTTCTCTCCATGTCTGTGTGGGTTTCTTCCAAGTGTTCCGGTTTCCTCCCACAGTCCAAAGATGTGCAGTTTAGGTGGATTGGCCATGCTAAATTGCCCATAGTGTCCAGGATGTACGGGCTAGGTGGATTAGCCGTGGGAAATGCAGTGTTACAGTGATGGGGTGGGATTGTCTTCAGAGCATCAGTATTGATTCGATGGGCCAAATAGCCTGCTTCCATGCTGTAGGGATTCTATGATAATGTTATCTCTCTCCAGATGTGTAATGGAATCCTCGATAAAGCAATTCATTCCATGTATGTTTAATCTTCTGGAAACAAAAAAAATGGAGGAAGTAGGTTATAATGGAAACGAAGATGAGAATGTGAATGAAGAATAAAGATGGCAGAATACAATGTGCCGTAGGTTCTGCTGGAACTATGGAAGCAGAGTGTCGTACGCTATAAGTTTACATGGAATTTCTGGAGATTTGCTTCTAAACGCATTAGAATCTTTGGGAGATAACGTTGGACTCCACTTGTATTGCTGATGAGTTGAATGGCTTTGAGTGACCAGTTCTGAGGAAGAGTCATATCAGACTGGAAACTTTAACTCTCGGCTGAATCTTACACCCTTGTTTGGCTAAGTCCACGTTGTGTTGAGATTCTGGAGGGTTTGTCACTGTATCTTACCAAAGGCACCTCAATAATTACTTAATATATCCGTGTGTCATTTCTCATGTCTGAATTGCATCTCATTTCACCATAAGCTGTTCCTGGACCAACTTGCCACTCAGCCCACTCGGGTATTAGATTATAAATTGAGAGATCCAGATGATGCCCTGGGGACTTGGGTTTGAATCCTGCCGTGGCAGATGGTGAAATTTGAATTCAGTACTAGTCTAGAATGAAGAGTCCAATGATGACCATGAATCCATTGCTGATTGTCAGAAAAAAAAACCCTATCTGGCTCACTGATGTCCTTTAGGCGATATAACTACCATCTTTACCTGGTGTGGCCTACATGTGACTCTCAAACTATCCTCTGGGCCATTAAGGGTGGGCAATAAATGCTGGCCTAGCCAGTGAATTAAAACAAAACAGAATTCACTACCACCATTAAGGGCTTTCAGACCAGAGTGGTCCCACACAGTTCCTGATATTTGCTCCTGACATGGCAGATAGGGGGAGAATCGGTGCCAGACTATGCCCACAGGATCCTGGAGTTCCTGCTGGACAGGGTGGTGCCCAGGCAGGGCTTCCTCTTCCCCCAGGACTAGTAATAAAGGCCACAGCATCAGACTTTGCCAGGCTGGTCTGAGGTTGGCATCTGGGATTAAGCAATCTTTAGGTCTCTGGAGGAATGCACTCTGGTTCAGTTTTTAATTCCAGATTTCCAACATCCACAATATTTTACTTTTCTTTGAATGATGCTTTTGTTTGGAAAAGGCTCCAGTAAATCAAATGGAAACATCAACAGGAAGTAGTCAGGCACGGGGTTAACAAACAGGTAAGCTCCTTTTTATCCTGAATGTCATTGGTGACACAGCAATGGCACATGCATTAGAAATGCAGCTTGTCAGTGGAAATGGCAACAGTCCTGGAACAAAGATGGATGCCCATGTATTCACAGTGCAGTGTGAAATCAAATCCTTGAGTGCTGGCTCACTGGAAAGATTGGACATTTCATCTACTACTGCAATGTTCATTTTTAAAAAAAAAACATTACAAACTGTAGGACTTTGGAAGAAGTCCTAAGGAGGTTGGTTTGTGTGGAGAAATGTCTCCCTGACTTTATAGAGACCCTCTCCCATGCCCTAGTTGATGTAATTACTGATCCATACAGAGCTGGCTTTTGGCCTGCTCATATGGGAGTGATCTCCAATCAGATTAATGCAATCTGTGCATTTAATAAAATATTTCCGGTCCAATAACCCACCCCCACCATCAAACTCAACGTGCAATCTGATCTCCAAAGGGAAAAAGTCTCCGGAAATCTTGGAAAGTGTCATAAACCGTGACGGACCTCTGAAAATTCCTGGGGCGGTGAGGGGGATGTAGTGGACTGTCTGTGTCACAGGGCACAGGAGGCTGTCTTTCTAACAGAAAGAAACTCATCACAGCAAACAGATTGTGTAACACATTGTCCATGGTATCCACACATAGACTTCACATCATAGTGAGAAAGTTAGTGTCACATCACTGACCCTGTCTGTGCATACGGGGTGACTGGCAGCCATTTTAATGGCCATGTTAGTGTTCAAGCCACTTTCTTTGGACAAAGTAATACCATTCATTTCAAATTGTACATTGTAATTATGGAAAGCATTCAGTGATGTAAACAAGTGTATTTGGTATTCTTCTTGACCATTCTATTTTATCTAAAATCTTTCCTTTTGCCTGTTAGGTTTTTGCAAGTTTCTGTGCTGTTTGTAAGCTATTTTATTTCTTTATTTGTACCCAGGACTAAGACTGTCTAAGGGAGTGTTTTGGAAGGAGAGGGAGGTTACTAAGCAAATATGGATATCTGTCTGCCCTAATTCTTTACCTTACTGTTTACCTGTAGCATTAAAAACCTGTCCTATGTAACACTTATTATCCTAACCTCTTGGAGATATCTTAGTCAGTAAATACATATCAGGTGTTGATACAAGTTATAAAGATCTGGAGGTGCCTGGTTTGACTTCTGGTCTCTGTAAAGTTTGCTGATCTCAGCTGGAGTGATAATGGTTTGTCAGATTTAGTTTTGATGTGCCTGGGGGGAGAAAAAATGCAGCCTGGTTTTCCTTCTAATCACAGTCCTGTAACCCTTGCTAAAACTTATGTACATGTGGAAATGGAGTGAGAATAGGGAAGTGCTCATCTGTGATGCTCCTATGTTCAAGCAGCTCACTTAGACTCATGCAAAAATCTGCTCATTTTATCAGTATTTTATCAGTTGTGGAAACACTTATGCTATTTCCATAACATAAGAAATTAGGCATGAATAACATGGTATTGAAGAATCCAATAAATGTTTGTTATAGCTAGAGATTATGTATAAACATTACATTCACAAGCATTTAAGTGTCTGGTTTAAAATTAAACTATTAGATTTCAACACAGCAGCCTGCTTTCAATAGCATGTCAAGCTTCAAGTCATTCAAATTAAGATGGAGTATGTGATCTTTATACTTATTGCTACTCTGTCATGACACATAAGCAATGTCATGAGCATATCTCTTAAAGGTATACTAACATACTCGTTCTCTTAAAAATATTTTTAAAAATGACCATGAGGCACAACGTGAGGTGTACATATCACACAGGAGACTCCATGAGTTTCTTCATTTCCTGTAATGAAACTTCCACAGCCATTGCAGTCAAAGCTGTTGTAGCTCAAGGCTTTATGTGTAGAGCATTCTGTTCTGCAAGCTTAGCTTGCATGAATCAGTTTCTGATGCCAGATTTATTTGACCAAACTTTTCCAATGTTTTCCAGACAGACAGCTAAAAGCAGAAAGGCAGAGCTCTAATGTTCATAAAGATTGCAGGAGTCACCCCCAGGTTAAGGTGTCATTGATTGCAGCCACTTTACCCTGCAGTCTCCTGTATATAACGCCAGGGTCTTCCTAAATCACAAGGCCTTCCACTTTATTCAAATTGAACTGGTATGTGATAACCAGCACCCTTGATCACACAGACCTTTGCTGTCCTATCTGACAGTTCTCCTGACAGTTTCATCTTGCACCACAAAACCTTGGATCCTGCAGAACAAATCAGAGTCTAGCTGTGTTGAGACAGTAATTATCTTCTACACAGAGATAGTAGGAATTGCAGATGCTGGAGAATCTGAGATAACAAGGTGTAGAGCTGGATGAACACAGCAGGCTTCCTGCTCCTATGATGCTGCTTGGCCTGCTGTGTTCATCCAGCTCTACACCTTGTTATCTCTTATCTTCTACACACTTGCTTTATGACTCCATTCAGGACCCATTCTCAGCTGCTGAACTGCAAGTCAAATAGACTTCTCAGCGAGCTGACTTGAGTGAATGAGCAATTATCCTGGTGCCGGACAGGTTTGATGGCATCCTAGATAGCTCACAGATTTGTTGTCCAATGCGTAACATTGCAACAGGGACAGTATATGGAGACTTTATTGGGAGATGATCTTCAGCATGATCAGTGGCAATGCTATTAATGCAACGGAAGATGGTATGGGGGAGGGTTGTCGAAGAGTTTTGTGAAGCCAAAGCTCTTTGGTAATATCTCATTGCAGAGCACGTCGGCTGCACATTTTCTGCTCTCCTGTATCAACAGTCATCTCTAACATCTTTGCCATTCCTTAAATAAACTACATCTGACCAAAGATCAATCTTGATACAGGAACACACTCAGCACATGAAGATTTCAAAGAGGATCATTGTTGAATTTTGTTCATAATAAAAAAAAAGCAGGTGCTCCTCTTGTTCTGGCATATTCCACCTGAATGATGTCAGCTTCTTCTGAATGTAGAGTGAAAGTGGATAAATATGTACATTGTTGAAGAGGTTTAAATAAATCAGGCAGCTTGCTGACAGGAGGAAACAACATGCAAGACCAAGAGGAGGAAGCACTAATTTGAGCATCTGTAGATTTTGAGGGTGAATGCAAGGAGAGAGGTGGAGCAATGAATTCTTCCTTAGTGACTGGAATAAAACAATAGGAATTGGAGAAGGGAAAGGTTCAGAATACCAAGGTTAAAAATAGGTTTAGCTGAAAGCACGAGAGAGACAATTAAGGTTCTTACCTTTATAATTTTGGTTATATTGTTAATCCTTTAATCCTTGAATACAGCTAGGTCCTGGTGACAGTGCAGATTGATGTGATATTTCTTTCCATGTTACCTGGCTAAAATTTCCTTTGGCATCCATTGTTTATGAGAATGAGAGGATTTCCTGCCTGACATTAGCTGGTTTCTGAGGATTTCTCCTGCTGCATCAGTCTGCATGTTATGCTCAAAGTCACCTTGTCTGTCCCTGTACAAACTCTCTGCTCCCTATCCACCACTGACAAAAGCACTTCCTTCAAAGGTGCTGCTCAACTGCAGTCCTGTTGGATTTTCTGCTTGCTAATTGGCTAGCTGCTGACAACTGACAACAAACTGATTTCATTGAAGTTAATCTCAACCAATTCACAACCAAATTCCATTTCAATTCCTTCAAGTGAACACACATACATTATTGACTATCTGCCTGATTCGCACTCACTAATTTTCTGTGGAGCCTTTCAGACAGTATGTTTTAATGAGGACACGAGTGCTGTCCACTAATGTGAACGTTTGCCCTTTTTTTTATTTTCAGCAACTAATTTCCAATTCGTTTTTTTTCCAACTAATCGAACGAGGTATAACCATGATTTCTTAAGAACAAAATTAAGAAAGGTCTTATAAATCATTCTTGCCTTATGTAGACAATGACAGTTAAAGTAATCTCAGGATGATTTGTCTAGGCCACCATTGTAGAAATTGATGTGATTTGAGAGAAATTTGGTTTCTAAACATATTATTGTATTGCTCTGGGCTATAGCTAAGTGCATATCTAAGCAGGCAACCCAATAAACTGCAAATCTCAGGACAATTAAAAAGCAAAATGGAGAATTTGTATCTTGTACTATATATTGGTGTCATTAGGTAGAAGAACCTTAGCTAATAAAATCAAATCTGTCTTTTTGATTAGTTTAATGCACTGATACGTGTAAGGAATGATGTGTTTAAAAATGAGTTATGAGCTGAGATTTGGTGTAAAGAAGACCAATCGCAATAACATTGAGTATTTTCCTTCATTCAGTTTGAGTATAATATCACACAGGTATTTATCCACACATCTTGACAATTGAAATGCTCAGGGAGACTTGCTCAACTACGATATTAGGACATAAAGCAAGGAATGAGAAAAGGCCATGTCCCATATGACCATGGATCAGGGGTATTTTAATTTTACTCATATCTAAAGTTATCAAGTGAACCATCTGTCTTCCACTCATCGAATGAAACAATCTTCATGTTTTTCCTTGTGTAAGCCTGAGAGGCATCCCCAGAGACCTGAGTATTCCATGATGATTTTAGTTTTCTATAAATGGCGCCCCTTGAAAATTTTCTACTCACTTTGCTTTCTTCCACACATATTTACCAAATGAGCAGCCAACAAAGAACTTGCTTTTCGTTTCTGATCCATGCTGCATTCAATAAAGGTTCATGAGAGCAACCTGGGTAAATGGATCTTCAAGTACCTCCATCTCATTTTTTTTTGTCAAAAGTTAAACACAGCATGTCCTGGTGATGAGAGATAGTAGGAACTGCAGATGCAGGAGAATCCGAGACAACAAGGTGCAGGGCTGGATGAACACAGCAGGCCAAGCAGCATCATAGGAGCTCCTATGATGCTGCATGTCCTGGTGATGGCCCATTTAAGATTGGGAATGTAATTTTAACTTCCAGGTAGGAATACAGTGAAATAGGTAGTACCTAAATAGGTGCTGGGTTTCAGTTAAAATGACACTTGCAGATTGTCCTGACCAAAGTCACCAGGCAGTTGGAGGTAACTGGCTGCCTGATCATTGGTTTCCTCTTGGAGAGCATGAACAAAAACTTTGAAAATTTGCATTGCAGAGCACCTTTCGCATAATTAAGCCACAAGATAGAAGCATCATCACGACCATAAGACCAAAAGACATAGTAGCAGAAATTGGGCCATTCGGCCCATCGAGTCTGCTCTGCCATTCAATCATGGCTGATAAGTTCCTCAACCCCATTCTCCCGCTTTCTCCCCGTAACCATTGATCCCCTTGATAATCAAGAACCTATCTATCTCAGTCTTAAATGTACTCAATGACCTGGTCTCCACAGTCTTCTGTGGCAGTGAATTCCATACATTCACCACTCTCTGGCTGAAGAAGTTTCTCCTTATCTCTGTTCTAAAAGGTCTTCCCTTTACTCTAAGGCTGTGCCCTCGGGTCCTAGACTCTCCTACCAATGGAAGCATTTTCCCAACATCCACTTTTCCCAGGCCATTCAGTATTCTGAAAGTTTCAATTAGATCCTCCCTCATCCTTCTAAACTCCAATGAGTATAGTCCCAGAGTCCTCAAACTTTCCTCATATGTTAAGCTTTCCATTCCTGGGACCATTCTCGTGAACCTCTTCTGAACCCGCTCCAGGGCCAATACATCCTTCCTGAGATATGAGGCCCAAAACTGCACACAATATTCCAAATGTGGCCTGGCCAGACCCTTATAAAACCTCAGTAGTACATCCCTGCTTTTACATTCAAGTCTTCCCAAAATAAATGCCAACATTGCATTTACCTTCCTGACTACTGACTCAACTTGCAAGTTTACCTTGAGAGAATCCTGGACTAGAACTCCGAAGTCTCTTTGTACCTCAGACTTCTGAATTTTCTCCCCATTTAGAAAATAGTCCATGCTTTTATTCTTCTCACCAAAGTGCACGACCTCACACTCTCCCACGTTGTACTCCATCTGCCACTTCTTTGCCCACTCTCCTAACCTGTCCAAATCCTTCTGCAGCCTCCCCACCTCCTCAATATTACCTGTCCCTCCACCTAACTTCAATTAAAGTACTCCGGATCATCTTGCTTACAAGAAAACTGAAAAACAAATTACAAACTTACCAAAGAACTGCGGATGCTGGAGATCTGAAATGTGATCTGCAACCTGCTGAGTTTCTTCAGCATTTCCTGTCTTTGTTACAAACTTAGCAAGTTTGTGTCTGCTTGGGCACTGAGTGTTCCTGGCAGGTTTCTCCTGGTGAGGAAGCCTCCAATGATCCTTCCTTCAGGTTTAACGATTACAACCTTTAAAAGGCATCTGGATGGGAATATGAGGAGGAAGGGTTTGGAGAGATATGGGCCAAATGCTGGCAAATGGGACTAGATTTATATAGGATATCGGGTCGACATGGACGAGTTGGACAGAAGGGTCTGTTTCCATGCTGCATATCTCTATGACTCTATAATTTTAAAACAGCAGATCAGACCATGATGACATCTTCAGAATCCAATCTGCATATTTAAAGAGCAGCCTAATGGCTTGTGTAAGTAAATGTTCCTGTCTCTGTAATTAAAATTGCAGTCAACCAGATTAAAGCAAGAAATGAACAGTGAGTCTCTCACCTCATTTGGAGCTAAAGTAGATCCCCAGTTTCTATATGTAAGGACTGTCGAATGTCTACGAATCTTATCTTTATGTAGTCTATCACTGTGATATGACAGCCTATCAATACAGGGCCGCCGGTTCATTGTACTACATTTTAACCAACAAATAACAAGAACTATTTGACTGTAAACTTAGAAAACCAATCTTTCAGGCTCATGTGTTGTGATAGTGTCCTTACCCCTAGGCCAGAAGGCCCGGGTTCAAGTCTTACCTCTCCAGAGCTATGTTGTAACACATCTGAATACGTTGACTAATAATATCTAGAAGACCAATCTAACATAAGTGAGTGGCCCGTATTTTAAAGAGTGAAATGTAAAGCATTGGTTAATGCAGTGGGTTAGCAGCATTGCCTTTTCCTCTCTGGGACCTAGGATCAATTCCAGCTGGGCTTGATGAACTGAAGATTGCTACTTGATGATGGATATAAATAAAGATCCAGTGTGAAATGAGCTTAAGCTGTCTCAACCCATTTACTAGTGAATGATGACACCCTATAAAACAATCTTTGGTTTGACAATAATTAGTAATCTCATTCTGATAAGTGAAAGAGAAGACTGATGGGGAAGTTAGTGGAATAGCTGTTGGACTGAATTTGTTTAAGGTATACTTCTGGTAGGTAACAGTGGTTATGTATTAATGCTGATTTGCAGATGCAGAGAATACTGTCTTGTATTACCTTAACAATGCAACTTCATTAAATAAAAAAGATGAGCGAAAAGCTTTTGACATTCACCAGCACAGTAGGAGTGAGTTTAAATGTCTTTGTAAGTACATGAAGTATGGTAAACTCTATTCAGACTTCAGATTGCAGACATTACTAAGTGTTTCTTTTCGGTTTCCTCCAGGAATGGATTTACCAGATGAAACTCAGTTGCAGCCTTCCACACCAGCATGGAACAGTTCCAGTGACTCAGGCAAGCAACCGTTTCAAACAGTAAAACTCCAGTGAATTACAGAATGTGCTTACCCCAGCCCTCAAAGCCTTCACACATATGTATCTTCCATACTGTACAACAGCACTCACGCTGTTTACAACTTTAGGAGTAAAACTGGAAGAGACTCTATAAAAAGGAGTGAAACGTTCTTCTGCGATGGTCCACATCTGCAAGTGATTTTGCTGAGTATTTGTTTTGTTGGAGCCTGGTTGGAGACGCTGGGACACCAAAATGATACTGTAATTCAAACAGGATGTGTGTTTCAAGGTTTCCTTGAAATTCTGGAGCTTTGATGCTGTCAGAACAGAGTAGTTTAGCTTTCTGTAGCTGTCAAACTTGTGAAATTGTCTGGGTTTAAATGAAACAGTCTTGATTCTGAAATACATAACTTTATATGGAAAGACTATAAATCTTGTAATGTACAATCCTCTAGGCCTCTCATTTATCTTTCTCTTCTATTCATTAAAACAACAGGAAGCCTTAACTGCTTCCATCTCCTGATTGAAGCTATTCGCTTTATTGTCTGCAGTTTTCTTTAAAAGTCTTCAAACTGCATTGCTAACCAACACCCATAATTTTTTTTCTGTTGCTTTTCTGCTTATGATAGTTGCAAGATTTAACAGACTAGTAGTTTTTCTCTTGTAAAGAGAAGGCTGAACCATAACCTGATCAATGTCTACATGGAGGGATTCGACAGGGTAGAAACCAAAAGAATGTTTATAGTTGCCTTGATATCCAAAAATCTAACAGAGTCACCAGTGAATCCAGTATCAAAATTCAGGAAAAATCTTTTCACTCTGAGAATGGGTAGGATGTAGAACTTGCTGTCACATGAAATTAGAATATCTGCATTGATAGAGACCCTACATCAACATATCAGGTCAACAAATGCTTCTGTGGAGCATAAATACGGGATTGGACCTTTTTAGGTTGAGTTGTCTGCTTCTGTACTAGATGTTTTGAAGTTCTGTGTCACAAATATGAATGATGCAGGTACTTAGCTGATGAATTTGCAAGAGTGAAACAGAATCCTGCCCTAAATTCCTGATTTGAAACTGTATTGTGAAGTAATAGCCAGAACGTCCCTGAACAGTGAACAAAAGCTGTAAAAAAAACTTACGCCATAAAAGAAAACTTATTGTCTTTTCATACATACAGGATACAAATGCCAGAATGTGTTGGAAAATCCTTAAGAGTAGTACTCTCTAATATAAAGATAATGTTAAATGTGGTGTCAGGAGCTCAATTTGTAAGTGCAGCTTCTGGCGTGATATTGACTGCTTGAAGTAGGAAGGTTTCAGGTTCAGTAAGCCTGTAATAAGCTGGCTGATCTTAGAAAGGAACATTTGTTACAACATCCATTGAAGCTACAAGAGGAAGGGGAAAACCCACTAGGATGCTCATCTCTGACCCTCACCTGGACCCAGGTTCAATTCAGGCATTTGAGAGGGTGCTGGATGGTTATTTAGATGTGCAAGGTATGGGGTAAAAGCAGGAGGTTGACATCAAATAATGATGCTCATTTGAAGAGCCAGTACAAACATGATAATCTGTACGGCCTTTTCTTGTGCCGTACCAATTCTATGAGTGTGATGTCGTCGAATGAGGCTGTGCTGGAAAATATACCTGTGCGGAACGTAGACTTGTCTTATTGCCTTCCACAGAAAAATTACCAAATGCACACCTTCACAAAAGTAAACCAGCACTGATGGAATTCTGGTCAAAAGTGTGTCATCAGTCTCGGGACAGTCAACATGAAATTGTAGAGAGAATGATACATTTACCAGCAGATCATAGCATTGCTGTCATGGAGGAAGGAAGTGTCATTGCTGGAATGATGATGTTGATGGCTGATGCACATTGTAACAGTCTTGAATTTGGAAGGAATTTTGGAAATATTTGGAAGGAAATTTGTGAGGAATCTCCTCAGAGGGGCAGTAACTGTTTTTTGATTAGTTTCTGTAAAATAAAACTTCCTGGAGCTTCCACAGGGATTTTGTAGTGTAGAAGTGGTGAAAACCACATAAATGACCAACAACTTCTGTTTATATTGTTTCTCCAGGGATTGAGAAAGAAGACCTAGAAAACCCCATGGGAGTTCCCCTCCAAAGTGTTTTACTTACCCCTGGGGTTAGATAAATAATTCAATTTATCCCCTTTACATACCACAGCTACATTTATGATATATACATTTATAAATGTCATACATCTGTATGCACTTCCTGTGTCATTATTTTCCATTATAGATTCCTCTGGCTATGTTTATAATGAAATCTAGCAATGTCAGTTTGCGATGCTATAATCACAAACTCATTTCTGTCTCCTGAGTTGCCATAACTCTTTATATATTAAACCAATGGATAATGCAACATGACACATTGAATATTTAATTTTAAAATGACGGTGACAGGAAGGAATAGAGTGTATGAATCTAAGAACAAATCAACAGTTAAAGCTAGAGGTGCATCAGGAATAAAAGGATAAAAATAAAGAATGAATAATTTGGATGAGGGGAAAGTATGGTTTTCAAGTTTGCTGACAGAAGAATAGGAATAAGTTGTGAAGAGTACATAATGAGGCTACAAAAATATATAGATAGGTTAAGTGAATAGTAAAAGATCAAACAAGGGGATTATAATTTGGGAAAATGTGAAATAGTCAATTTTAGCATGAAAAATATGAGTAAGCATTTTATGTAAATACGGAGAGTTTACAGATCTCTAAAATGTAGAAGGATCCGAGTGTCCTTATGCATGAATCTCTTAGCCTAGGTACAGCAAGTCATGAGGAAAGCTAATAGAATGTTACCATTTAATGCGAGGGGAATTCAATATAATGGAATCAAAGTTGTGATTCAGCTATACAGGGCACTATTGAGACCACATCTGGTGTACTTTGTGCAGCATTGGTCTCTTTTCCGAAGGAAGGAAACAGTTCAGAGAAGCTTTGCCTGACTAATACCTAGAATAGAAAAGTTGCCTTATGAGAAAAGGTTGAACAGGTTAGGCTTAAATCTGCTGGAGCTCAGTATTTTTTTTTGCATTCCTTAGATCATAAAAATCTCATCGTAAATTGATACACAACAGTATTAAGAAATATTAGGCTCGGATATGTCTATTATCTCTACTAAACAGAGTCCATTTGTCAACCAATCAGCACTCTTCTTTTATACAGTATCAGTATTGGTTTTGGTCTTAAATTGATATTCTTGCAAATGGTCCTGACGAAAGACGAAAAGTTATGACAAAGTGTCTTTTTCTATAATACTCAAATTGTGCACTACAAAAGGACTACATATATAAGAACATAGGAGCTGGGAGCAGGAGTGGGCAATTCATCCCCTTGAGCCTGCTCCATGATTTGATTTGATCATGGCTGATCTCTTCACAGTCATAGAGTCATTGTCGTAGAATAATACAGCATGGAAACAGGCCCTTCCACAATTCTGCTTTTCCACCTGCTCTTCCTAACCTGACAACCCAACATTCATTAGTTTATTTTTCATGTCACCACACACAGGCATTTAAGACAAAGTGTGATCTTCTAGATAGACCGTGGGAGAATGTGGAACCAGAGTCTTCATATGTAATTTATAATAATATATGTGCTTTATGTAGTTTACCAAACATGCAGACAAGGAGCAGGAAATGCCAGTCACCAAGTAACAAAATCATGTTTGATCTGATTGTTTCCAGTTCTACCCTAAAATTATTCAAA